GGAGCCCCTACCAAGTATTGAGTACATGTACAGTAAATGTCCAGAAGAGCCAGAAGAGCAATAATTCACTAAAAATGTTTTTTTATTGGTCTTATGAAGTATTCTAATTAGTGAATTGGCAGGCAAATAAAATGCCGTTCATAAATATATCTATCTACTAACCTATATATTCATACCTATCTTTATAAACATCTTTCTTTATATTTGATCTAATCTGTAAACTATGTTAAACTGTTTATGTTCATCTTTTAGTGAACATGGCATCATCTGTAAAGGTTCAGGCTACTGTCTAGATGTAGTCATGTTCACTCAGACACGCAGGCAGTTCCTCAGGAGAAGAAAGCTGAGCGGCAAGACGTCCTCGGAGATGGTTCCCTGACAGGTCCCTCTCATCCACTGGTGCATTCTCCATGTCATCCTCGCTGCCATCTTGTCCATGGCTTTCCTCCTCCTCCAGGAGATCACCTCCCATCACGCAAATGTTGTGGAGGATGCAACAGGCACCAATCACCTTTGGGGCAAACAGTGGCCTGATCTCCAAGGCCCGCAAGAAAATGGCATGCCAGCGCGTCTTGGCCTGATCTCCAAGGCCCTCAAGAAAATGGCACGTCTTTAACATCCCGAAGGTGCACTCGATGATGTTTATTGCTAGTGCGTGATGCCTGTTGTATCGGGCTTCCACTTGGCCTGTTAATCATAAATTGTGTAGAAAAATGTGTGGTGTACTGCAAAGTCAAGAAAGTAACAATTTGTTGTATCTTCTGTGTGTGTGTGTGTGTGTGTGTGTGTGTGTGTGTCTGAGACAAAATGAGTGTTCTTACTTGCGACAGGCTGACAGTATGGGGTCATGATTGCAATAGGATGCTGCAGGCATGGGTATCCACCATCTCCCAGCAGAAAGTATCCAGCTGGTGGATACAGAGCATGCTGATACATTGGTGATCTGCGTAGGATAAGGGCATCATGTACAGATCCTGGATTGCCAGTGTACACATCTTTAAATGTACCCTTGGCATCACAGGTGCCCTGTAGAATGATGGAAGGAAAAAGCTTTCTGTTTACATAACACTTTTTTGTGACTCTGCAGGAGGAAGAATCCTGATGTGGCACCTGTCGATGGCACCAGCAACACAGCAAAATGCCTCATGACCAGCAAAGTCGGCCCCCACCTCCTCCATCTCCTCTGGTTTTGGAAAATTAATAACTTTGTGGAGGATGGTCATCATCTCCTCCACAACGTTATGAACAGTCCTGCAGACCGTTGCAAGTGGCATGCTGGAGGTGTCTGAAGTTACCCTGTAGGACGCTCCACAGGCAAGCCAATAAACTGTAACCAGCACTTCAATTTCATGGCTCCATCCATGGGCTTTTTGCCGGGGAAGCATCTGGACCAGCATGTTGATGCTGTTCCTGGAGAGCCTGAAGGCTGGTCTTAAATCATCTCCAGAAAAAAACTTGACCAGGATAGGTACCTGGTCATTGATCTGGGTATACCTTCGAGTGGGACTTTGCTCCTGTTAAAATATATAATATAAATTAAATTATAAATTATATAGATAATATATAAATTTGGAATGTTTTTACTGTTGTTGTTGTTTTATGTATTTATTATATTTATTGCTTTTTAAAATGTTTTTTTAATTATATTTAGTGTATTTATTACTATATTTATTCAATATTTAATCAATTGTATTTTAAACATATTGTCTGAAATTAATTGTTGAAGTCTGACAGAATAAAATTTCGCTCTAACATTTGATCTGTTTGGTGAGGTATTTGCTTATACTTGATTTCAGTTTCATTCATTTATTGATAAGCACTAGCACAGCGGTCTTCCCAGAGCCCAAATTTGTAGCCTCTATTATTATTGTACACAGAAAATTTTCTGTTTGTGTTAATGCAGTAATATGATGTGCACAAATAACAAAAGAAAGGTGTGTGGAATGTAGGCTAATTAATTAATTACAATGTTATTAACTGTCAGACCTCTATTGTATTTGTGAGTTTATTTGGTACACCTAGAAAAATCTAATGTAGTCTCATTTTGTGAGTTAGTACTTTATGTAGTCTTTTCATAAGGTGCTTATGAGTTAAGAGATTATATATATATATATATATATATACATA